GGGAGCCTATAAAAAGATAACATGTTATGTGGCATTATTCCATGCAACTTTTTAAATCACCTCTTTCGGGCGCGTGGGTGGCTCAGTTGGTTAAGCGATTGCCTTCGGCTCAGGTCATGATCCTGGAGTCCCTGGATCGAGTCCCGCATCGGGCTCCCTGCTCGGCAGGGAGTCTGCTTCTCCCGCTGACCCTCCCCCCTCTCATGTGCTCTCTCTCATTCTCTCTCTCTCAAATAAATAAATAAAAATCTTTTAAAAAAATAAATAAATCACCTTTCTCATGTCCAGATTCTCTGTGTATTCTAGGTTTTCCATTATTTAACTACATTCCTAATATTTTTCTTAGAAGTTACCCTCCCTGAGAAGTTTAAAGTCCACTTCTATATATGTAAATGAAAGACAAAGATATTGTCATAGAATGGAGGGGTTAAGTGAGGAGACACAACTAAATGCAGTGTGGGATCCTGAATTGTATCCTTAGAACAGAAAAAGGACATTATTAGTCACCTGAGATCAATGGCTTTGAAATTTTACTATGGTTATCTAAACTGGTAACACTGAGAAAAGCTGGGCAAACTCTGTACTATTATTGAAAACTTTTCAAAATAAACTTTAAAAACAAAAGCCACCTTTATTTTCTCCTTTCCCAATTTTTGTCTGGCAGAGGGACCTCTGAAATCACACACCCAGAAACCAGTTATGAACATCATTTTTATTGGAGCCTTGCACTAAATTTCTTAAAAACTTGAAACTTTCATTAACCAAATTAACCATTTGGATTAAAAATAAATTTTCCTTTTATTAATCTATTTTTAAGTAATCTCTACACCCAACTTGAGCTTGAGCTCACAATCCCAAGATCCAGAGTCACATGCTCTAACGAGTAAGCCAGCCAGGGCCCCTCCTGTTATTTTAAATATGAAATCCAAGACAATCTTACAATTACCTTAGCAGCAGCCATGGCTGTCTTTTTAGATGCTTGCTTAGCCTTTTTTGCTTCCTTGGCAGCCCTGTGGAGTTAAAAATAACTTAAGGCAAAGTGTTTTACTCCTTAAGAGCGCAGTTTCGTAACAAGGAGCTAGTGTTTTGGGAAAGAATTATCTATTCCTTCCCCATTGCAATTATTTGTATAAATCCAAAGGGTTTGTCAATAAATGTCATTAACCACCAAGTCAGCTTAACATAGATTAGAAATTGTAGCTTTAACTGCATACAGAATTTCAACAAATCATTAAGTATATAGTATATTATAAACTTCTGCATTATTAAACTTCAGTATTTATGACTGGCAATTTCTTTATAGACGCAAGTATCAAAACACAAAATAACATCAAATTAGATTCCTATGCCTATATATGCAAACAACATAATCCATCCCAACAGCTGAAATGCTCATAATGAAGGCTTCCTCACCTGATGGCCTGTTCTCGTTGTGCCTTCCTAACTTCAGGTTTCTGATTCCTCTTGGCCATTATATCAGCAAGAGATGCACCAGTGATGGCCCTCTGGAATTTAACTGCACGGCGGGTTCTTTTCTTTTGAATTTCTTCCTACAAAACAAAAAGATGGGAGTGTACTTATAAACCCTGCTTCATGAACATGGGAAACACAATCTTAAGATTTTATTTATTTGTCTTGGTGCACTTAGGCTGCTACAACAAATACCAGACCGAGCACCTGATAAACAGCATTTTTTTTAATAAGGACACTATTCCCATTCCTGAGGGCAGAGCCTCCCAAAGGTCACACCTCTTAATATCATCACTTTGGGGGTTAGATTTCACCATCTCAATTTTAGGGGTATACATTCAGATCATAGCAATATTCAACAAAAATAATTCATGCAATCATTTGAAAAGATATAAAGAATATATGTAAAATACTGCAATAGGCAGTAATTTTCCAATTATAGATTGGTTAAATTCTCTCACAAATCCTGGCCATTTTTTACTACTTTAAAAAGACAAAAGTCAAACTCTTTGAAGATGGTACTTCAAAAGTGATTTAAAAAAAATTTGAGAGAAAGGGGAGGGGACACGTGTGTGGCAGAGGGGGAGGGAGGGAGAATCCGAAGCAGGGTCTGTGCTCGGAGCCCAGTAGGGCTCAATTCCACAACCATGAGACCATGACCTGAGCGGGAACCAGGAGGTAGACGCTTAACCCACTGAGCCACCTAGGCGCCCCACTTCAGAAGTGATTTCAGTTAAGACTTTATAGTAAACAATTTACTTCTGGAAAAAAAATTATCAAATCTCAACTCACCTATTTTATTTTTACCTAAAGTACTGTCAATGGAAGAAATAGTCAATTGGAAAATGATTTATGACAGGAAAGCTACTAAGTAGCAGGGAATGTCCAGGATCAAGACAGTACAATTCAAACTTTTGCTAATAAAAGATACGTAACATTAGCCATCTTAAAGCATTTATTAAGTGTATAACTCAGTGGCATTAAGTACATTCACAATGTTGTGTGCAACTACCACCACTATCCATCTTTAACTTTTTCATCATTCCGAACTCCACATCCATTAAATAAAAACCCCCACCATTCCTCCCTTCCCCTGCCCAGCCTCCGATAACCTCTACTTTGTCTTTATGAATTTGCCACTATAGGTACCCCATAAAGATGGAATCATGTAATATTTGTACTTCTGTGTCTGGCTTATTTCACTTAGCATAATGTCTTCAAGGTTCATCCATATTGGCTAGTTACCAGCTTTTTAAAGCTGAGTAATATTCCATCGTATGTATATAACATTTTGTTATCTATTCACCCACTTATGGGCCATTTCCATCTTTTGGCTATTGTGAGTAACAGTGCTATGAACATTAGCATAGAAATTATCTGTGTTAAGTTCCTGTTTACAGTTTTCTCGGGTATATTCCTAGAAGTGGAGTTGCTGGATATAGTTGCATTTAACTTTTTGAGAAACTGTGAAACCATTTCCACAGTGCTTGTAGCATCTCACATTCAGCAATGCACAAAGGTTCTAATTTCTCCACATCCTCGTTAACACTGGTAATCCCCCCACCCTGTTTTTGGATAAGGACTATCCTAATGGGTGTGTCAAATCTACTTTTAAGTCAGAAATAAATGTTCCCTTCCTCTGAACTCTCACAACACCTAGTGATGTCCTTCACCCAGGTGTTCACTAAAATATTCCAAGCCTCCTGAATACGAATCCTACTGCCATGGCACTAAAACCTTTCCTCAAAAATCTCCATCAAGGGCGCCTGGGTGGCTCAGCTGGTCAAGCGACTGCCTTCAGCTCAGGTCATGATCCTGGAGTCCCGGGTCGAGTCCCGCATTGGGCTCCCTGCTCGGCAGGGAGTCTGCTTCTCCCTCTGACCCTCCCCGCTCTCATGTGCTCTCTCTCAAATAAATAAAATCTTTAAAAAAAAAAAAATCTCCATCAAGCTAAAGAGCGCTTCAAAAAACATTCAGTCTTGAGAACTAGTATGCTGTAAGATTCCACTGATATCCCTTAGGACTAATCCTATAAACATACTCAAAACCAAGTTACCATGCTATTAATTTCTACCCACCGGAACCCCTTAATTACTTCCACAGTGCCTTATAACTCAAGTGTGCATAGTATAATTTATCGAACTCTGGCAACGGGATGCTTTCAAAGTTCAACCCGACATTCCTGTGAGCGGAGCCTAAGATGTATAAGGAGACTTATCAGTCATTTTCACTTCACTGTTTGATGCTTTACAGCTTAAGAGCGCTTACACAGACTGTCTCATTTACAATTTTACAGAGCAGCAACTGATAATCAGTTTAAACTTAAGAGCCCCACAGGATCAAACTGCATTTTACTTACCGACTGTCCCTTTTTGTGCTTTCTTCTGTAGAGGACAGTCCAGTTTATCTGCCGAGGATTCCTCTTGGAAAGGAATGCGGATTCGCATTTTGCGTTAAGAAACTGGAAAACCTGTAGAAGCGAGTTCAAAGTAGTCACCTACTCAACGCAGGAGGCTGAGCTGGATCTCTTAGTACTCTAGTTCTCTCCCCTCACTGGGTCCAGAGACCAACAGGCTCGTGTCACACAACTGGCAGGGAACTGGGTGGCACCACCAAGGCCTCTGAGGTTTGTCCTGTCTTACAGAGAAAGCAGGGAAACCTCAGCTCACAGCGCAGGAAAGGGCGGGGTATCACATTCCAGGAGGCATCTAGCTCCGGTCCCTACCGGGATTAAGAGGATCTAGTGCCCATAAAACGGCCAGATACTTCGGTGGTCCATTTCTCGGGACATCTGAGTTACCCAAACTTCTCATTTCCGACCTGACTCACACTAGATCAAACCTCAAGAGCGGTTCACTTAGAGGCTTCTGATCCTAACAACCATTGCACACACGGTCCCCGAAACAAGCCTTGCAGGGACCAAGAACGATGCGGTAAATGAACACGCTTAGACCGAATTAGACCGGTCTCTCCTCTTAAGAGCACAAGCTGAGCTTGGGCGACGCGGCCTTTCACCTTCCCGTCGGTCCTGGCGTAGCGCCTGCCATGTCCGGGGTAAATCTTGTACCCACTGAAACTGCACAGCTCGACCCTGTAACAAAAAGCGAAAGCCCATTAGAGAGGGTGTCTGCGGCAAGGAGAAGCCAAGCCCAGGCCGCGGGAGAGGTGCTGTGCCCGAAGATGGAAGCGGATTGGGGACTAGGGCTCTTGCTCACTTCATAGCGCCGGTAGCCAAGAAGAAGGAAAGATGGTGAAGAGAAAGAGAGGATCATGGGAAGAAGCCTTATAAGGCAGTAGGGCAATCTCCTCCCCCAATTCCCCTCTCTAACCCCGGCGCTCGGTGATGACGTCTATCACGGCGGCCTCCTTCCTCTGGAGGAGGAGCCAGTTCTGGGAGCGAGAGAAAAGTTGACTGTAGTTTAGGCAGGCGAATGGTTGTTTTCTGGGTTCTTCTTGCTCCCGCGGTCAAGTGTCCTAGAGCCATCGTCCTGCTGCACAGAATGTGAACTCTATGTAGTTTAGTGACCTACAGACAATACCCACAGGTAAAACTTAAAGTCACATTTTGCTTTCCGTGTTGGCCCATTTCCTCAACCAGCAAAATTACATTTTAATCGTTTCACCTTTGGAAAATAGTAATGACATCTGAACTGTCTCCCACGCCTTGCTAATCGAATTGTCCATGACGGTGCCTTACATTAATTATGATTAACGTTCATTGAGTTCTCTTTCTGTGCCAGGAATTACGCTAAATCATTTACATACATTATTCAGTTTACAAAATCCCTATTAAGTAACCGCTGAAGCACTGCAAAATGACAACTGCCTGTCTGGGAAGAGCTAGGTTTCAACTTCTAGCTTATTGCAGCCAGGGGCGGGTAGTTGCACAGAGAAGGGCAAAGCTTTTGTCTGTAGGTTTTGGAAAGGGAGCTCTGGCCAAGCCCACTGGGAGAGCCAATGCTTCAATCGCTTGAGCCCTTATGTAACGCTAGAAACTAGCATATGTTGGGAAGTGGCAAGAGATAATCCTTGAATTGTGTGTTGGCGTATTTGACTAGGAAACAAAATGTAATGATTGATTAATGCTGCCTATAAAAACTGCTCACTTAGGGCGCCTGGTGGCTCAGTCGTTAAAGCTCTGCCTTCGGCTCAGGTCATGATCCTGCAATCACAGAATCGAGTCCCGCATGGGGCTCCCTGCTGGGTGGGGAGCCTGCTTCTCCCTCTGCCTCTGCCTGCTGCTCCCTACTTGTGCGCGCTGTCAAATAAATAAATTAAAAAAAAAAAATCGTTAAGGGCGCCTGGGTGGCTCAGTCGTTAAACGTCTGCCTTCGGCTCAGGTCATGATCCCAGGGTCCTGGGATCGAGTCCCACAGCGGGCTCCCTGCTTGGCGGGAAGCCTGCTTCTCCCTCTCCCATTCTCCCTGCTTGTGTTCCCTCTCTCGCTGTTAAAAAATAAACAAAAAATCTTAAAAAAAAAAATCGTTAAAAAGGATCTTTTAGTAGGTAGTTGAAAAGATTTGTAAAGTCTGATAACGTGGCTGAGTGATGCTAAGAAAGCTGTACAGTTATGTTGGAACCAGTCTCAAGAATGAGTTAATGGGCGCCTGGCTGGCTCAGTCAGTGGAGCATGCTACTCTTGATCTTGGGATTGTGAGTTTGAACTCCACCTCGGGTGAAAAATAAAATAAATTAAAAAAAAAGAATTGATAGAGATCAGCATGGAATTGAAAAGCAAAGAGGAGGAATTTGACAGTCTGACCAACTCTGACCAGCTTTTCAGAATACCTGGTATACTTGGAAGACATTGTCTAAATAGACTATAGGCAAATGGATGCCTCAGGCTTCCATGGCTTGGTGAACTTAGTCAACTCTGACACTCTGTATAGTTCTCTTGGTTTTAAATCACTGCTGATTAATGTTTGATCATTAAAGAAAAAAAGAAAGAAAGAAAAAGAAAGAGAAGAAAACCACCTGGCTTCTACAGGCTCCAAGACACAGCTGGATATGAGTAGAGGATGGAGCGAAGATTTATAAGCAGGAATTTGGTACACAGAACCCCAGAATTTATAGTACCTTCCCAAGCATTTTAGGAAGATTTTATTTTATTGGTCTTCAAAATTAAGTTTGGCCTGAGTAGCTCTGTGGAGGAAAAGCAGAAAACCAGATCTTAGAGATTTAGCTCTTTTACTCTTTCGTAGAGGGCGTTCTTGAGCTGGCCTCTCAGGGTTCTTTGTAACACGTTGTGTGTATCACACCTTAAATTGTGCTCAAATATTCTTAGAATAAGAAGAAGGTATACAGAAGACCCTAAAAGTATTTTATATAGTGTCATAAGACACAGCTTCCAACACCATCCATAAATTTTTGGTGACTTTATCCTTACATTCTCTTTTATTTTTTTATTTGGAGTCTAACGCAGGCCTTGAACTTACAACCCTGAGCTCAAGACCTGAGCTGAGACCAGGAGTTGGACACTTAAGCAGTTGAGCCACCCAGGCACCCCATTACATTATTTTTTATAGGAAAAAGGCTCAGCTGTCCTTCCTTCTCATTTATTTTCTTATGGAGCAATACTGAACCAAAGTTGGCCTTCTTCTCAGCCTCCTATAGCTCCTGAGAACAGAGCGTTCTTCTGTTCATTGCTTCTTCATCTTTTACATATACTTACTTGCTGTATTAGTTTTCTGTGGTCGCTGTAACAAATTACTACACACTTGGTAGTTTAAAAGTTCAGAAATACATTCTTTTGGTTCTGCAGGCCAGAAGTCTAAAATGAATAACATTGGGCTGAAATCAACAAATCCTTGCTCTAGACTCTGGAAGCTCAGTGGCAGAACATGTTCCTTGCTCTTCTGTTTCCACTCAGATAAACCCTCTTGAATTCCTATCCCATAGAAACTATGAGGTCACAAATGTTTGTTGTTTTAAACTACTATGTTTAGGAATACTTTGTTGACGTAGCAATGGATAGTTAATAGAGGAGGTAAGGAAATTGTGAAGATGAGAACTTAGTGAATAATGATATCATTTGTCAAAAAGACAGATAAGAGAAAGGAGCATGTTTGTGGGGGAAAGGGCCAATTTTGCAAAGTCAGGGCTCCAGATGCCTATAGTACATTAAGGTGGTGGTGTGTTTTAGGAAGTTAAACAAGTTCAAAGGAGTGTTTGGAATAGGATATATTTTAAGAGTAATGGACATATAGGTGATAGAATATGTGTGATGATATCACCTAGTGTTACAGGCTGACTTCTTTGGAAGCATTTCCTGAGACTGGGTTTAGGATGCAAGATGTTTATTAGGGGGCGCCTGGGTGGCTCAGTTGGTTAAGCGACTGCGTTCGGCTCAGGTCATGATCCTGGAGTCCCGGGATCGAGTTCCACATCAGGCTCCCTGCTGAGCAGGGAGTCTGCTTCTCCCTCTGACCCTCCCCCCTCTCATGTGCTCTCTCTCATTCTCTCTCTCAAATAAATAAATAAAATCTTTAAAAAAAAAAAAGATGTTTATTAGGGATCAAGTCCTGTGAAAGGAGAGGGGAGAAAGCAATATGAGGCAGAAGTTAAATAAATTACTGGCCCGACTAAACCTCAGTTATCCCCAGCAGGAGCTCTGGAACAATTATTGCCTGTCAGAGTATTCCATGTTTGGCCAAATGATCAACCCATTTATACTACCACCTTATCACCAGATGTGTGTTGCCCCAGAGAGATCATGACCCAAGTAAGGTGGTTCTCAGTAGCTGAGCCAGATCCTACTGATAGGTGGGGATGCCAGTGACAATGATCAATGTCCACTGTTTGGCAGCAAGCTCTTGCTTGAAGAGGGATCTGGATATTGCATCTCTGTGTCTACCACCCCCAGAAAGAGTGACTAGAGTGAATCAGCAAAAAAGAATCCAGAAATACCAGTATTTAAGGGACAAGGGAATGGAGGGAAAATCATCTGAAGAAGGCTGAGCAGATGAGGTCAAAGGAAATAGAGTCCATGATAGTCACTTCAGAGAAGCCCATGGAAGAGTTTTGACAGTGCTAAAAGCCACATAAAGTTCCAGTAAGACAATGACAGGACTGTAAACATGAATGCCTTTGGAATCACTCAGCCCCCTTTTTAGTGTTTCTCCCCATAGCATTCTCTTCTCAGGTGTGGGAGGGATGTGCCTTTTTAGAATCTACCATCATAGTTCCTGGAAGGCTGGTTAATCTGAAGACTTTCAGGCATTGACTTCAGGGAAGGCTTTGAAAGGAATGCCTAGTAACTAGATTAGAAAATGACTAGGTTTAAAAACTATATGGCATTAAAAACTATGAAGCTTTCTTTAAAATTATGAAGCATTAATGGGATACCTAGCTGGTTCAGTTGGTAGAACATGTGACTCTTGATCTTGGGGTCATGAGTTCGAGCCCCACATTGGGTGTAGAGATTACTTAAAAAAATAAAATTATGAAGAATTATTAAAATTAATAATTATGAAGTATACTTTAAAATCTAAATCTAATCAAGTCTTCATATATCTAACTACCAATTATATGATATATAGGGGACAGAAACATGTGAAACAATTCCACAGGGATGCAACTGGCATCTGCAGGATGACTTAACTTCTTCAACAATATGTGAATTGAAAGGAAAAGAGAAATTAGAGCCTATGGATAGGACTATCTGCACAAATAATTTTCAGGACCCAGTGTAAAATGAAAGTGGGACCCCCTTTTTCAAATAGCAGGATAAAGGTATAAAATATTAAGCTGTTTCCTTTCTTCAGTAATCTATCTCTTGATGTTTTATGGTGTTTTTTCATTTGCTATTTAATGTCATGCTCCTTTAGGCAAGGACATTCGCTAGGGATGTGCAGCCCCTCACAGGTGCCCAGGGACCTGCCTTGTGACTTGATGCATGTACTGGAACACACGAGGCCCAGCCATCTCTTGGGTTGCCCCTACTGTGAGGTTCTGGACCAACGTGTTATGCCCCCCCCCGCTGGGGGTGGTGGTGAGGGAGGCGCTGTCAATCTGGCCATCTCCTTACACTGTATTCCTGGCCTAACCCACAGAGAATGGGCAATCCTCTGGGATGTGTTATGTACCTGGGTCCTGGATGGGGGTGGGCATCAAGCTGCTTGCAGAATGCACGGCAGCAAACTGCAGAACCAGCCACTCTCCAAACCCATCCCTAGAAAGTGAGGAAGCAGCATGAAGTGGACCGCCTGTGAGCTGAGGCTTCAAGCCCCAGGCACATGCCCTATTATTCCCATTGTACTTCACTTACAGAACACAGATTCAAAAGATACCATTATCGCTAACCGAAACAGCAAATGCAGGGTATTAAACCCCAGGTGTGGGATGCTCCTGAGTGTTAGGCCCTGTGCGGCTGCATTGGTTGCGCAACTTGAATTTTTTTTTTTTTAAGATTTTATTTAGGGGGCGCCTGGGTGGCTCAGTCGTTGGGCGTCTGCCTTCGGTTCAGGTCATGATCCCAGGGTCCTGGGATCGAGCCCCGCATCGGGCTCCCTGCT